GTCTGGAATGTTTTGGTTTCTTCTTTGATTTCACCTTTCAGCATTTTTACACTTATTTCTGTTTCCTCTATTTTTCTTGTAGTAAAACTGCTTTCTATGTCAGGTATTTGAACCAAAGCTCCATCACCTTCCACTACTATATCCACATCTGCTTTTGGTAGCTTTGTCTTAGACAGTGAGATTTTGGGCATAATTAAATGAGGTCTTTTTATCTGACCTTTTTTGGTGGCTATGTCTACATTTCCATCAGTATGAACTCCTTGAACTTCTGGAAGAGTTACTTTTGGTTCTGTGCCTGTATCATCTGATACTATGTCCAGTTTGGGTTCTTCCAGAGGTTCTTTTATATTTGTTTTAAGGCTTGCTTCCTTTTTAGGAGACCAGCTCAATGATGGCAATTTGAATTTTGGCATTTTGAAATGTGCCTTTTCTTCTCCATCTAAACTTCCTTCCTTAGTTATCTCTCCCTTAGTTTCTGGCTCCTTTCCTGCACCATGTAAATCCTGAACGCCTACTTCTGACTGTGTGACAGAAATATCAGTAGGTGATATTCCCACTGCTGCAGTCTTCACATCAGCTCTAATAATTTGGGGCATTTTTATTTTCTGTTCCAAAACATTCTTTTTTTCACCAAGTACATCAGACTCCATTTCAATTGTTGGAGCTTCCACTGCAACATCAATAATATCCGTTGTTGTTTTCACCTGGGGAACATCAGCGTCCTTGGATAGGCCAATAGCAATATCTGGAACTTTTCCTTTAGAAAATGAGATCCCAAAGTTAGCCATTTGAAATTTTACCTTTTAATTTTCTTATATTACAACTTTAGTTTTTAATTTCTGTTCCACTTATAGATATTTCAGTAGACAGTATTTCTACTCTAATTCCCAATACTTTCATTTTAAGACCCTTAATTCATTTCTGTCATCAATATCATCTGATTATAACTCTCATTTTAAAATCTGACACCAAGTGAAGGAACTAAGAGTTTACTGTAGGTAAACTGATTTCCATATCTACTGTAGAAGCTTTAATTGTTGGTTTAAAAAATGTTTTGTGCTTGGAACCTTAACTTTGGTCATCTTAATATTTTTTATATCATTGTCAATGGTTTTTTTATCCAATATTTCTTGTGAAATATACTTTTCTTCCTTAGAAACAGACACTGCCATGTCATTATTCAGTGACAGCACACAGGTATTTCAGCTTTATAACCTTTCATTTTCAGCAAACTAGAATGAAGCCTTCTAATAGTCCTTTCCTCCATAGTCAGGTTTAATTAAAATTCTATTCTTTTGTTTCAACTGTAAACGAGAGATCTTCTCTGCTTGCATTAATAACAGTGGAACCACTAGAGTCTTTCTTGAAGTCCAACTAAATAAATTTTCAATTTTGGCATCTTAAAATTATTTTTTTCTTATGTCTTTAATTAATTTCATTTTAATATCTTTGCTGATTAAATCTTACCACCATTGTGTGCTATAAAATATCTTCAGATGAAAGGACAATATCTATCTCTGAACTTTTAACACTGGATTTCAATATAAGGAACCTTTCATTGGTGAAATCTGCATTTTTATACATGAAACACCTGACACTACTTCAGAGATTTCAGATGATCTGACATCTAAAATTTGCATATCAGAATTTACATAAAAATATCATCTCAATCTTGCATACATTTTCATCTTTCCCTTTGAAAAGTCAGCCTTTCTCTTAGCTTGCTAAAATCAGAATCAGTTGATACACTTTTAGCTCCTAAATTGGAATAAATGTAGTCAATAAAGGTTGTCAAATCTAGCCCATTCAGTCAGAATAATATTGCTACTAGGCAAGTTTTCACTTTTGTCATATTTAGAAGGAACTATTTAAATCTTTGAGAAACCAAAATTAGGTATATAAAAACTTAGACAAATTGATATTTATCCCACCAACATGACAGTGAGATTCCAAAATATCCGTGTTGATACAGGAACTCCTGTATCAGATCTTTCCAAACTACAGTGTTACTTCTGACAATTAAGTTCCCTCACACAGATAAAATTACATATACAGTATACTTAGTGTGATAGGAACAAATTGCAATTCTGGTCTTACAATATTTCCTTCAGACTGAATGTCAGTTTTGTAGGAAGAAAATATTACAAAAGAATAAATCTTAGGCTTGTAAAATTTACTACATTTCTTCATATTTCTCTAATGATCTAGAACTATTTTCAATGTTAGAATCTAATTCAACATCTTCAGAACACAGAACATCTGTACATATTCAGAATAGAATTATCCAAGGCTGGGAAGTCAGCAACTATTTTCAGTAATTAAATATTGTATTTAGGAATTTTAGATTTTTTTGAGTGATGGCACAGACACCCTCACGTGAAAATTTATATATGAGATTAACTCAGCATTGCAATCAACAGCTGTCATTGCAAGGTCAGCTTTCAGACCAGCTTTGAACACATCTGTTTCTGTTAAAGGCAATAAGACTTTTTCCTTTATTGCAATACTCCCATTAGGAGAGAAATTTCCAACTTCGACATTTTGAACTTAAACCCCCCACTTTTCATCTTAACCTTGCGTCCCCCCNCCCTTGATATCAGATTTGGAGAACCCCATGCTGGGCATCTTGAACTTTGGCATATGTATTTTCATCCTGCCTTTCTCACGACCGCCTTCTGCTTCTACCACTTTGCTGGCGGCCTCAGAATCAGGTAGTTCGACATTAGCTTTGGGAAGGGAGACGTCTACCTCAACTTTTGGAAGGGAGATGTCTACTTCTGGTGGAGTGAGCTTGGGGGGCTTGACACTAGGCAGCTTCACTCCAGGCATTTTGATCTTCCCCTTCTCTTCAACCTCCACGTGCAGGCTTGGGGACTCCATGTCAACTTCTGGAAGAGTAGTGTCAGCTTCAAGCTCTGAAGAGTGCAGAGTGATTTCCATTTTCAGATCTGTTTTGCGAAGGTCTCCTTCCATGGAAGGTATGATGACTTCTCCCTCTGGGATACCTTTCCCTTTGGGCAGCGAAATTCCAAATTTGGGCATATGGAACTTGGGCATTTGGAACTTCCTATCTCCGCTTTCCAGCTTGACATCGGGGGCCTGCACAGAAACCTTTCCAGATGGAGGCTCTATGGCTACGTCGGGAGCTTTCAGTTCCAGGCTGGCCGAGTCTGTTGGAATCTTTACTTCAGGAGATGATATGGTAATGTCTCCTCCCTTCACTTCAGGTTTCTCAACACGGATCTCAGCTTCGGGAAGAGAAACGTCCACTTTAGGCATACTGATATCCACATCGACTTTGGGACCCTTGATGTCTGGTTTGGAGAATCCCATGCTGGGCATCTTGAACTTTGGCATGTGTATCTTCAGTCCTCCCCTGTCGATGGTGCCTTCAGCCTCTGGCAATTTTACGGCCTCTGCACCATCAGACACTTCAGTTTTTACTTTGGGAAGGGTGACAGCAGCCTCAACCTTTGGCAGGGAGATTCCAACCTCTGGCCCTTTGAGCTTAGGGACCTTGACACTAGGCATCTTAACATCAGGCAATTTCATTTTGCCCTCAACAATATCCACTTCTAAGCTAGGTGCATCTACCTCCACTTTTGGAAGCTTAAGATCAGCTTCAAACTCCACAGAGGGCAGTGTTATTTCTGTTTTCAATTCTCTCTTGGGCAACTCTGCTTCCACAGAAGGTATGCTGATTTCTCCCTCTGGGACACCTTTCCCTTTGGGCATTGAAATTCCAAATTTGGGCATATGGAATTTGGGCATTTGGAACTTCCTATCCCTGCTTTCCATTTTAACATCGGGGCCCTGCACAGAAACCTTTCCAGATGGTGGCTCTATGGCTACGTCGGGAGCTTTCAGTTCCAGGCTGGCCGAGTCTGTTGGAATCTTTACTTCAGGAGATGATATGGTAATGTCTCCTCCCTTCACTTCAGGTTTCTCAACCCAGATCTCAGCTTCGGGAAGATAAACGTCCACTTTAGGCATACTGACATCCACATCAATTTTGGAGCCCTTGATGTCTTGTTTGGAGAATCCTATGCTGGGCATCTTGAACTTTGGCATCTGTATCTTCAGTCCTCTCCCATCGATGGTGCCTTCAGGCTCTGACAATTTTACAGCCACTGCGCCATCAGACACTTCAGCTTTTCCTTTGGGAAGTGTGACATCGGCCTCAATATTTTTTCTCAGGGAGACCCCTATATCTGGCCCCTTGAGATGCGGGACCTTGACGCTAGGCATCTTCGCTTCAGGCATTTTGATTTTGCCCTTATCACCAATCTCCACATCAAATCTAGGTTCATCTACCTCCACTTCTGGCATCTTAAGATCAGCTTCAAGCTCCACAGAGGGCAGTGCCATTTCCGTTTTCAATTCTGTCGTCGGCAAGTCTGTTTCCACAGAAGCGACAACGATTTCTGCCTCTGGGACACCAGTCCCTTTGGGCAGCGAAATTCCAAATTTGGGCATATGGAACTTAGGCATTTGGAACTTCCTATCCCCGCTTTCCAGCTTGACATCGGGGCCGTGTACAGAAACCTTTCCAGATGGAGGCTCTACGGCTACGTCGGGAGCTTTCAGTTCCAGGCTGGCCGAGTCTGTTGGAATCTTTACTTCAGGAGATGATATGGTAATGTCTCCTCCCTTCACCTCAGGTTTCTCAACCCGGATCTCAGCTTCGGGAAGAGAAACGTCCACTTTAGGCATACTGACATCCACATCGACTTTGGGGCCCTTGATGTCTGGTTTGGAGAATCCAATGCCGGGCATCTTGAACTTTGGCATGTGTATCTTCAATCCTCCCCCGTCAATGGTGCCTTCAGCCTCTGGCAATTTTACAGCCTCTGCACCATCAGACACCTCAGCTTTTACTTTGGGAAGGGCAACATCAGTTTCAACCTTCGGCAGGGAGATCCCTACTTCTGGCCCTTTGACCTTGGGGACCTTGACGCTAGGCATCTTGGCTTTAGGAATTTTCATTTTGCCCTTATCTCCAATCTCCACATCCAAGCTGGGTGTATCTACCTCCACTTCTGGCAGCTTAAGATCAGCTTCCAGCTGCGCAGAGGGCAATGTTATTTCCGTTTTCAATTCTGCCTTCGGTAAGTCTGTTTCCACAGAAGCGACAACGATTTCTGTCTCTTGGACACCTTTTCCTTTGGGCAGCGAAATTCCAAATTTGGGCATATGAAACTTGGGCATTTGGAATTTCCTATCCCCACTTTCCAACTTGACATCGGAGCCTTGTACAGAAACCTTTCCAGATGGAGGCTCTATGGCTACGTCGGGAGCTTTCAGTTCCAGGCTGGCCAAGCCCATAGGAATCTTTACTTCAGGAGATGATATGATAATGTCTCCTCCCTTCACCTCAGGTTTCTGAATCTGGAGCTCAGGTTCGGGAAGAGAAACGTCCACTTTAGGCATACTGACATCCATACCGACTTTGGGGCCCTTGATGTCTGGTTTGGAGAATCCCATGCTGGGCATCTTGAACTTTGGCATGTGTATCTTCAGTCCTCCCCTGTCGATGGTGCCTTCAGCCTCTGGCAATTTTACAGCCTCTGCGCCATCAGACACTTCAGCTTTTACTTTGGGAAGGGCAACATCAGCCTCAACCTTTGGCAGGGAGATCCCTATTTCTGGCCCTTTGACCTTGGGGACCTTGACGCTAGGCATCTTGGCTTTAGGAATTTTCATTCTGTCCTTATCTCCAATCTCCACATCCAAGCTAGGTGCATCTACCTCCACTTCTGGCAGCTTAAGATCAGCTTCAAACTGTGAAGAGGGCAGTGTTATTTCCGTTTTTAATTCTTTCTTGGGCAGGTGTGCTTCCACAGAAGGGAC